CTTCTGATGTGTAAACTATCATTCTAGCAAAGTGAGATTGATTTACTTGCAATAACTGCAGTATGTCGAGAAATGAAAACACCATGTTTCATTACCAAAGTAGGTTGTAATAATTATTACTAGTATTCCATTAGTTTTTATCTTTATTTCTATTATATTATAGGTTACTGGAAAAAACGCTGGAAATAGTTTTGGATTGCGTATCGAATCATGGCACAAAGGATTTATATGGTGTTCATCAAATTCAAAAATTCAGTTAACAGTAACTCAAAGTGGTTTACATAATCCATTAGTAGTTTTTTTTGCTGTGTTCCGTGTATATCAATGTCAATATCCAGATGAACTTAAGCCATCATTTGACGAATTATTTTCATTTTTTTAAACAAATTTTGTTGTGATTTCTCGTTTTTCGTATTTTCGTATCGGTTAAGCTTCTCCTTCACAAATGTGAGAAAAAACGCCATGTGTATTCTGAATTATCAGAATGTGTTTGTTCTGTTCATTTTCCCTTAGGAAAAGTTAAATTATTTCTAGTTTTTTGTTGACTTCAACTGTTCACTATTGGTGTTGTTGAAAAAAAGTAATAAAGATTATTACAAGTAGATAAATAATATACAGTTTCTTTGTTATGCGTAGGAATAAACAGCGCCTTGTTATTGATCTAGGTATGCACTGCAGTGGTATTGCATCATTGATATTATATTTCGTCGACACAAAAAATACGCATGTTATTTTTATTGTAATATTCATTTAAATAATAGGTTTGATATTTTTATCTATTTAGATACATTGAATCATGCACAGATTTTCATAAATCACCAACAACACAAATGGATGTCGGTTTAAATGCTCTCTTTCTTATCTATTTTTTTCTTCAAGTAAGTATGACTTTGAAAAATCAGTGATTGGAATTTGAATGTGATTTCGAGTGTCTAGGATATTCTTCTCGATTTATCTAATTATAATAGTTGATAGATACATGTGTTTATTATTGATTTTCTTTTTGTCACTTTAGTTTACTGCATCTCAACATAAACGTCGATTTCGGTTTAGTTTATATTCTGTTGTTGACATATTTACAATGCCACCGTCATTTGTTGTTCTATACTTAATCAAAACTGGACTGGTAACATAATATTGGTAGACATAATATTGTTAATTCGCACTAAATTATAATTTATCTACTTATTTCAGGTTTTCGTTTCTTACGTGCTATTCGTATGATGAACATACCTGATATATTACAGTATATGGGTGTTATCCAGCGTCCAAGATCAATACGATTTATTCAGGTAGCATCAAAATTTATTGCTGTTGGGTTTGCGGCTGCAGGAGCTGTTCATCTGATACGATTTGTATTTGTTTACGAAAATACTGTTGGAAATAGTCTGGATTGTGTATCGAACCACGGCACAAAGGGTTTATCTGGTGTTCATCAAATTCAAAAGCACAAAGTGGTTTACATAATCCATTATTAAGACCTTTCGTTTTATTTCCTGTATATTAACGTCAATATCCAGATGAACTAACTAACTATACATAATCTGTTGGGTGACATGTGCCATTTGTGTTTTTTTTTTATTATTTTTTATTGTGCGCTTTGCTTAATGTCAAAACTGAACAGATAACTCTGCATCAGATATTTTTCCACAAGTAAAATAGCTTTTTGTTTTTCGTGTCTATTTAAGTTGCTTATTATGAAAAAACGTAATAAAGGTTATTAGAAATACATAAAATTATATTTCTTTTTGTTCTTTATAATTGTTCTATAGATCAAATTTTCACTAGTAAGAACGATGAGGAGGAACCTTTGACGCACAAGGAAGAACTGTTCAGAGAATTTGCAATAGTAACCGAGCTAGTCTAGTGAGAATCCTTCCACGAAATGAACTATGAACTGATGCATTTGTTGGAAACTTTTCGAGACGAATATAGTACTTCTTCGACACTTGGACCGTACCCGCGAAAATTCCGACAGTGAAGATGAAAATGGTCATACACTTAGCAAAATAAGGATCCATCAAACCTTCACGACAAACACGTGTTGCTGATATATCGACAATATGACGGATGAGCCGTAAAGAACGGGCCAGAAGAATTTCTTTTTTCGGACGGTTCCCTATAATTTGGAGACTCCGTTCTAATCTCATTCGATAGAGAATTTTCCGCCCTACAAGACTGTGAAGTTGTTTTTGATATTTTAAACTCGACTTATTTGAACTAAAAAAATTTTTAAACAGTTGTGTAGTTAACTGAATAATTCTTTTAAATCACTTTTTTGTTACAGAAAACAGCACTAAACTCGCGTGACTCATACAGAAATTGTCACAATGAATTCGTTTTTCCTCTGAGTAAGCGTCAGGAGGACGATTAGTAAGTAGATGGATGACCGCCACTAAAGATCACCGAATCATTTCGTTGACGTCTGACGTATATATTGTCCACTGTGCTGAGAGAAAGTTACAGAAAGGCAGCCTCGAGGACTATGCACGTAGTGAGGGTCAGTACACGTTTCCAAGGCTTGAGCTTTTCTCTAACGAAAAAGCAGTTGTAAAACAAAAATTTATTTACTATCAAGTTACATTGTCGAGCAATGCGTTTTCCCCGGAGTAGTATTCAAAACATCAACACATATATTACTGTTCATACTTAAACGGACTTGTTCTCCTTCTTTCAAAAAATGTTTCCGCTCATCAAATTGATCTCAGGTGCAACTTCTTTTAGATGAAACGATAGAGAATTTTATCTTTTATCGACCTGATCGGTCTCGGAAGTTTCAGAAGTAGTAAACGAGTTTTAAAAATGGTTAAGATTATTTTGTTGCGGTGTTTTTTCCAGTAATTAAGACATTTCAAGCTTCTGAATGGAAACTTAGTTTCAAACTTTTATGCCGGCAGACATTATGACTTTTGCAAAGATTTTTGTTTTTCTACTTTTTCCTTTAGTTATCCTTTTTGCGAATGTGCACCTCGGGTGTTCTTTTCCCAAAATTCGCTTTGGCTCCGGCGCCACAGGATTTAAACAGTGGAAGAAAATTGACTTTGGACTTCTAAATTTTGTAAAACTCCTCTCCATAACTCCATAGTAGAGAGGAGTTGAGGTTATATACTCGAAATCCCGTGGTTTTTAACCTACTACAGATCTGTCGACTTCGCAACCTGTACGCAGCACAATTGCAATCTAGTTTTATTTTGGCATTTCCAAACAGAGAATTTAATTCTGAGCATACCTATATGATTAGTAAGTTGCACCTTCAAAAGTTTTCAGGAGATATTCTTTGAAAAGGAGACCGGAACAGAAAACTCAACTTTCGCGCTTAGGGCTCTTTTTACATGAGAATTCCTGCACGAGGCTTTGCCCTAAAATTAGGCTACATACACCAGAAATAGCAGAATTTAGCGCAGAATTTTATGATATATTTGGAATTTTAGTGAGACATATTGTTTGTATTTTACGGGCGGCTTTTCACTTTTTGGAGTGTCGCAGTATGAACATTGAGTATGTGATGATGTTTCCAATTCCAGTTTTTTCATTCTTTTGAGCGTCCAAAACTACTTTATTCGGATTCAATATAGAAAACTGAGTAGAAAAACTCAGTTTTGAGACTTCAAATATAATATAATCATAATCTGATGAACTTAAGGGAAATCGTTGAAATATCTGCGAGACATTTTATAAACCTATGTAGTTTTTTCTATGAAGAGATAAAGAACTTTTTATACGCCATTGGGACCGTTAGACTGCCAGCAAAAACTATTTGTATTTCTTTTTTTAAATTGTATTGTTTCAGACAAGCAAATTTGATTTTCTTATGACCATGATCTAAACAGACAGACCTTGTTTAAATAAAATTGTGAATTCTCGCTCAAATTCTATAGTGAACGGCAACTTAAAGGTCATCAGACTCGTATGTCAAGTTCAATCAAAACGCTAGCTAAGCAGTAAAACATTATCTCAGACATGGAAAAAAAATAATTCGCCATTGGTGAACCGTATCTGTTGGGGTTTGGTTCTTCCTTCACCAAAGCACAACAATGCGTAACCGTAAGTAATCCCGTTAATGCGAAAGAGTGGCATATAACGTAACACAAAAAAGCGTAACAGAATGAAAAAGAAAAGTCGAACTTCTAAGAAATGAGAAAAGAAATAATAATAGAATAATATAACAGCAAATGCCGTGGGAGAAGAGAGAACAGTATACGTCAAAAAAACTAAAGAAATATACAATAAGAGAGCTAGTAATAATACTGGTGAAGAAAAGTGAGACATGGTGCGCAACCATTCCGCGGACCCTCCCACTCTCTTTGCACCGGACTGTTTTATGAACGAAAACGTCATGGGAGAAGAAGTGGTGTGAGAGGGTGGAAACGAGCCTGGCCGATAGATTTGCGGAAGATGCTCACTCAATCGAGTCTATCAAATGTTTTTCAAGCATTTGAGCGTTGCAACTTAAACGCTACGTTACTGATCACCAAAGTGGTCAACAAAGTACAAAACTCATGACCTTTGCGCGAAATAGAGCACAGTAAAGTACAATGTCGAAAAAGTTCATTGAATAAAATTATTCACTGTAGAAATGATCTTCTTTCAAAATCAATTGTTTCCCGAAACAGAAGACGTAATTTGCAAGTTAGGAATTGGTAGCGGAGCGAACGTAGTCAAGCTGAGGGGAAAATTTTTCTCGAACAAACACATCACAGATTATCGAAAAATTATACTCAATAGTGTAACAACAGATAACGTGAAGAGTTTAGAGGGTGGAGTGAATAGTAGAAAGTCAAAATTGCTGTGTACTCGCTCTGAACTGTCATGAACTTTTTCATTGAAAATGACTTCTTTTCCTGTGTAGATAAAGATCATGGCATAGTGAGAGTGCCAGATGGTCGAGAAAGACTAAAAACTGATTGCATCATGTTCTCGAAGAAAAGTCGAAGTAAAACATGATGTAATCAAATCTAGAAAACGACGCTAGAGCTATTTATAAAGCGGAAAATCGATAATGCATGACTTTCTTCAGGTATGCACATGAGTTTCTTGATTTATGCACATTGTTTTAGATATTTCTTCCCTCTTGCGCATACTTCAAGCGCATGAGACAAGAAAGTCAAGCACATACCTCCAGCGTTTTACATGAGTAAGAAATTCATGTGCATGGAGACAAATCTTGAGGTATGTGCTTGCCAAATTAAAAAGAATGGGAATTCCAAAAAGTTATTTACATTGGATAAATATATGACTGGGTGGGAGAAGGGCATTTTCAGAGATTGGAGGAAAAAAGTCAAGATGGTTTAAAATCATGAAAGGTGGGCCCCAAGTAAGCATATTCACTCGAACACTTTTCATTTGTTATCATAGCGATATGGACATTTTTCGTGGCTGTTGTTTAAGTCATTTTTTTGCCGATGATTTGGCGGCTATTCTAGCTGGTTCTATTGATATGAAATACTCCTCTCAGTGCCTTGATTTAGAACGTAAACTCCAGCTCTTTTTCGAACGATTAGAATACTATTGTTGCTTGGCAGTTCAACCTATCAACTACGATAAAACACAAGCACTCTTTTCAGCACGAGCTATCGGTTATCCAAAGATAGAGTTGAAATGTGACGAGAAGGATATTCTGTGGACAAAAGTGATTAAATATTTAGGTTACATCTTTACTCCTTCTTTGGGTTTTGGTGTGTTGACTAAAAAAACCAATGATAAATATTCGACAAAGGGTTGTCATGGTTATCTCTTTCGGTTTCGTTGGATTTACTTCTCCATGTCTTAGAAAAGCTTTGTTTCTCTCATATGTTCTTCCTTTGTTCGTTTGGTTGTTTCCTCTCTATCCACTATTCACTGTTAAACAGCAGCAAGATTTAAATCATTTTTATAGTACGTGTTTAAGAAGGAATACGTACTGTCTTCATTGGAGGGATAACTTCTTCTCTTATGCATTCAGTGAACCATCTTTGGAAGACCGGTGTTGCAAATATTGGAATAAGTATTTTGTAGCCTTGTCAGATACTGTCGACGGTAAGTTAATCTTTGAGGAGGCGAATTTCAATGTTTTTAGAGAATCTTGGCGTCCGAAACAGCACAGTGTCAAAGGAGTTTTTAGATCTAAAAGGTTTGTTGAGCATACGTCGCTGTTAGAGAAATGTACATCATGGTGCGCAGGTATTCCCCCTAACGATTCAGCCTTAAATTATGACATAGATGAAATTCAAATCCTAAGCAAGTTCCCCAAAACATTCTAATCACTACTTTTTCCCTACACATAGATCAAGCAGATAAAGAGGAAAAAAGCAGATAGATCAAACAGATAAAGACACGGCCGTGCTCTTATCTAACATCATCGACTTTTTTGGAAGACCATAACTCGATCAAACCGGCCATCAGCCTTTCTGCTGAGACTTTTCAGAGTGGAGCGATCCACGTTGTTCAGCATGTCAGAGTGGAGTTTTATCTACTTTGCTCTGACATTCAAAGCGAATAAAGTAGGTACAGTACTTAGTTAGAATATACTGTCAAAAACAGGTTTACAGAATAAAGGCGACCAGTTGAACTGATTCAATGAAATTATTTCACAGTTTCTTAATAATAGTCTTGTCAGCAATATTTTTAATTTAATCTACTGGTGCCAAACAGATTTCCACTTTCAGTCAATTTAATAAGCGTTCACCTTGGTCTTATTCTACCCATACACGCTTTGAGTCATGGATGAATACCGTTAACGAGTTTTGGTTTTAAGACAGGGGTGTGGCTGCTCACGTAGGCCCTTCTCTACGAGCTTGCACAAAGTAAATCCCACATGATGTTCCCAGCACAACACATTATTATTATCATATCACAATAAAAATAGGAACTCATTTTTACAATGTCAAAATATTCACAATAATATGAATAATAGTTTTAGTCTTCTTTTTCTATAATAAGAATGGTGATGTTGTGCTCTTTCCTCTTGTGTAAGGTGATGTTGAATGAATTAAATCGAAGTCGATGTTTTCAATAGGAGGAGGAGTAAAAGATATTCGCAAACGAAATGAAAATGGACTAACTTAAACTAAGTTAAAGAAAACCGATTCGTACTAAATAATATGATAATTGAAAATAAATTTCTTCTTCTTTTATTTGAATGATAAAAGAAGAAGAATAAAAAAACTTGAATGAAAGGAAAACCAAAAACTCTACTTTTTGAAAAGTAAAGTGCAAAGAAAATTGGTTTCAATGTTTTGAGAAAAAGTAACAAAAGTCCTTTTTCTGAACGAAACTAGGTCTGATTACGACTCGTTTTTCGTGTAACGCGCGGAAACGGAAATTAATTCTTTATGAGTTGATTTCTTAGAAGAACTTTCTCTATTTCTTCACACATTCCGCCAAGCGAAGTTTTTACCTTTCTCCACTCGAAAGGAAAAGGAGAGAACAAATTTAGTAACGACAAAGCAGCCGTTACAAGGATCGCCCTTCCCCAGCAGATTCGTCCTCGAATCAAGAAACAACAGAGTAGCATATGTCGGAGTAAAGGTAATCTCGCCAACCGCCTTTGAAAACTTGTTCTCAAAGAGAGAAACACATAGTAGTACACCCGTCAAATCGCTCACTCTTCTCTGCAAAGGAAAAAGGCATATTTTTCGACTTCCAGCTGTTTTTGTTCCGCAGCTGCTTTTACAGTAAAGTTTGACTGTATTTACGATCACGACTCTAATGTGCTATGTCAACAACAACAGCTAGAAAAGTCGAGTTGTCTTCTCTAATTATATCAATTTTTGAATTAGGTTTGTTTTTCATAGTTTGAGGAATCTCTCTGTTTATCCGCTTAAGGAGAGAAATCCTAAATTCATCTGCTCTTCGCTAGATCTTTGCACTTGTTCTTTTCCTTGATTATGTAGAAGAGTCTCTGTAATTTCGCCAATTGTGCATTTCGCCAACGGTATATTCGCCATTGGCGAAATTCGTGGGGAAGTTCGCCAATTGGCGAATTTCTAGTGTGACTTTCGCCAATAAATAGAATATTTACGTATTATTGTGTCCGCCAACTATAATCGTTGATGTTACGACTTAACTTCAGTTTTATTAAATCATTTTTTTTCAAATAAAGAAAGAACTGTAACTATATTAACTATATGAAAAGGTTGAATGAGTTCATGTTTCCATAATTAGTGATCATGTTTAGTCGTCTTCATTTTCATCTTCGACCGAGTGTACATCTGCAGATGCTTGATCAACATTGTTTGTATTTGTATTTTGTCCGACCACTTTGCCAACCATGAATGAAGCAGATTTCAAGTATTCTTTTAAACCAATAGATTTTGAAGCAAACAAATCTTCTAAATGTAACAAGTGCTTCTGTTTTTTGTCTGCTTTTCTTCTAGATTGTATAGATGAGTAAACTAATGTACTAGAAGTAATTCCACTTCCTCCACCTAAATGTGTAATTCGATGTGATACCAGTGCTTCTTCGTCTTTCAGAAAATGCATAAATTCCCATATTGATGGATGTAATCCAAATCGTGTTAACAACCGGAAATTATATCCTAAAGAAAGAGAAAAACAACAGCTGGGAGATATAGAGAAATACAATCAAAAGGTTTACCCTCTAAAGAATTGTTTGTTTTCATGTCATTGCTGCCATGATGCCAAAAAGCCATCGAAGTACGTTTCATATATTCCTTCTCGAAATACTTGATGAATTTATGATATGTGTTATCATTCGATGGCATTGTGTCTTTCAATAGCCGAAAACCATCATTAATTAATCCTTTCGAAATTAATGGTAAAGCCATAAATTGTTTCAACCATGTATTCACCATTGGATCTGTTTCATATAAGGTAGTAAGTCCAAGTTTCTGGATTTTTCTCCAGAGGGATTGTACGAAATGATACCAACAACACTTCACATCAATGTTTGGAAACTAAACATAAAAAGTTCAAAAGATGAGTTACAACTCTACTTAAGATTAGATAGATAGAAGAAAGAACCTTTTTTCAATCGTTTAAACAAAATTCTACGAGTTGTGAAACAATTCAATTACACTTACTGCTTCATGAAAAGAATTCATTACTGCACGTTCAAAATCCATCATACATTTTGTCACTTTCCATGGCATTTGCATATGTTTAGCAATTTTCTGCAATTTTTTCCAAATAGCATCGTATACTGATTGAGTTCGACACGAAGTCAAACACCATACCACAGGAATTGCTAAACGACACAGAAGCGCAGAAGATCGAATAGTTTTTTAAGAAAATTAGAGTTGGAAAGGCTTTTCCAGTGACTAGCACTTACTTTCACCATGATATCTGCCCATTAAAACATAAACTTGTTGAAACAATAATGGCCTTGTTTTGAAAGTTCCATCACATAGAATAATATCAGAATTAAACAAAGCAGATAATAGTTTTGGTGTACTAAACATCAGTAAACGTCCATCGAACCGTTCCTTATTTCCATCATAAATAACAAAATCTTCACCACGGGTATTCTGGCTATAAAAAATGGGAATATCAAAATCTTGTGTCTTCGGATGTGCTGGATAACGACGTGATCTTTTTTTATAAAATGTATTAGCTGGAATAAAATGAAAAGAAAAAACACATAGTAAAGTTCAGTCTTAAGTAAGGTGAACTATTCAAGATTTACCTGCTGTTTTGGGCAAACGTATATTTAATTGCTCTTCATCCGTTAAGTTTGCTTCGGCATATACACGTTCAATAATTTTTAAAACTGCAGTTGGTTCAACAGCAATTCTGTCATCAATTTTTTGATTCAAAACTTTCTGTTTCATATCAAATCGATCAGGAGGATGATTATGATTTACATTGTTGGTATCGATGAACGAACGTGTATCCAAATCTAGATGTACAACAGCACCACATTTTGTATCACGTCGTTGACATCTTAGATTGAGTACGTTTGTCTTCTGTGATTCAGACATGTATATATAGCTAAAATTGCCTATAATTAAACAATCTTTGCCTTTTTTCGTCTTTGTCCAATGTAAAACGTTCTTTTCAATTGGCCATGAATATGGTGATTGCCATAAAGTAGTTACTGATGCAGTTGCGCCAGCATTGATATCGTCTGATGGTAAAATTTCTTGATCACTTTCTTCGCTGAGATGTTTATCTTCTGTACCAATATTATCAAGTGCATCATCAACTGCTTCTGATGAAAGCAGAGTTGCAAGATCAGGTAATGGAGATGACGTAGATGATGCAGCCATTGATTGAGTAACAAGAGTGTCGATTGTTGATTGTGTAACAGAAGGAGTAGTAGTAATAGTAGTATTTGTTATTGTTGCTGCATCTTCATCATTGTTATCATTTTTTCTTTTTCGTTTACAAGGTTGTGGTACTGATGAAGGTAGTTGTGTTGGTTCTTCCGACACTACTGCTGCTGGATTATTTTGAAGTGAACGATATTTTGATCTTGTTTGTACCATAATGACAATTTGAATATGTTTATGAGAATATTAGACGTAGAATAGGGTCTTTTTATTATACGAAGTTAGATAAATTGTATTGCTAATATTTCATGAAAATATACTTTATCTTCGTAGTTTTTTATTTATTTATTTACAATCAAGACGTTTCGATCGCCATGTGCAATCTTCTTCAGTAAAACATAAAATTAATAAAATAAAAATATAAAATGTATATATACAACAGTTTTCTATTACATTGTAGTGTGTACAGTGGATGTTAAAACTGTAATGTGACAAATTCTTTTTCTTTTCGTATATTTATACTTATACTTTAACTTTATCTTTTTCTTTTCATTTCAATGGACTAAACTAGGACGACGAGAGGGTAAAAGAAATTTGGCTCTTTTATTTTATTTTATTTTATTTTAGTGACTCAGATTAAAATATCCGACGTAAATATATAACGTCGAAGGTGACATTATGTTAAAAGAAATAAAAGTACATCTTAAGTAAGATGATTGATGAAGAATGTATTAATAGACTAAACATATATATGAAAAATCTCTCAGGTTCAACGAAAATCACTCCTTATAGTTATGCCTATTCTGTTTCCTAAATTCATATCTGGCATTTAGATTTCGTTGTGTGGTTTCTGTAGTCGAGTTGCTAATATCCTTAGTTACATTTACTGGAAAAAACGGTTCTCCTGATCTTGGTTCAATCCACTGTTTAATAGTGGATTTCCATTGTGGACTAATTTGTTTACATCGATTATAACCTAAGTTTGCTATGGTATACACTGTCTCTAGTGTTTTTCTTCTATTCCAGTTCTTTTCTTTATCAAAAATCATACTGTTTTCAAAATCTGTGAAACATGCAGTACCATTTTCGTGATGCTGTGCCAATTCTGAGCCCTTCGCATCTCTTTGTTGCACTTTTTTAACATGTTCTTTTATCCTTCGTTTAAAACTGCATGTCTCACCCACATACATGTCAGCGCACATACAGGGTATACCATATACTACGTCCTCTCCTCGTTTGTCTAAAAGATTTTCATCTTGTACTACCTTCTGTGCAATTTTTCTTGCTTTATTTAACACTGAACCAATATTACGGTTGAGCGTTGTATAAATTCTAATATTGAATTTAGCTAATTGTGCTCGCAATTTTTCAGTTAGTAAATATCTATGAGGAATTACAATTATACTGTCTTTGGTGTTTTTGTCCTCTTCTTCATTTTGAAATTTATTTTCCCGCATCTTAATTTTATGAAAAATTTTACTAACTATTCTCTTCGGAAAACTACTATTTTCTAACAGCTGTTTAAGAAGGGTTAGATCAATTTTGTTATATTTGTAATGATTACATATATTTATTCTATTGACCATATTCATCACTATGTTTTGTTTCGTGGCGTAACTATGATTAGAATTAAAGTCTAATAAACGTGCACTCGCCGTTTCTTTCCTAAACCAATTTGTTTCAATCACTTCTTTCTCTCTATTAATGTGAATGCACACATCTAGAAATGTAATACTATTATTTTTCTCAAATTCAAACGTAAATTGCAACTCTTTAAAACCATTCAAATACTCCGTCAACTCTTTTATTGTATCTCTGTTCATGTTTGATATTAATAAAATATCATCCATGTATCGTGCTAATCCAACATATGGATATTTTTCATAATTCCATTTTTCTAGTAGAAATTCACTTCTAGTAGTTAAGTCACTTGTTAGAAGGCGATGAATCATGGAAATCTAAAACTAGTTTGAGTAAAGAGAGTTTACTTAAACTAATTGAGTTTAGCATAGAGAACACAATTTTTCAGTTCGGAAATAAATTCTATAAGCAAACGAATGGACTCCCAATGGGTTCATCGTTATCACCAATTTTGGCTGATGTTGCTCTTAGTGAATTTCTACTAGAAAAATGGAATTATGAAAAATATCCAAGTACTATAGTCCAAGTACAATAGTTGAGTCCCAGTTCAACTCATTCATATTGGCGAATCGCTAGTGTGACTTTCGCCAAATTGGCGAATTTCTAGTGTGACTTTCGCCAATAAAAAAAATATTTTCGTATTACTGTGTTCGCCAATTGGCGAATTACTAGTGGATATTCGCCAATTGGCGAAAGTACAATTGGCGAAATGAGGAATTGGCGATAAGATTTTACCCCATGTAGAAGAAGAAAAGGAAAGGTGTGATGGGATTTCCTAACTTCTAAAGCGATATAAATCGAAATAAGCGCTTCTTGCCATGTCACATTTCTGAGAAGTAGCAAAACTCCAAAATCCCACCTCCGCACTGAGATAATCGAGGTAAAATCGGCTTCGAGGAGAGAAGAAACATAAAAAACTGCCGGTATGAACCGAAAATTGAAAAAAGTTGTTAATTTCTTTCTCTCCAAGAAGAAAAACACGATTCTCTATGATCAGAAGCGGAGAAGGCTAAACCAGAGAGTTTGAAGTTCCACCTTTCCAGAAAGAAACACGTGCCATGCTAGCTTCTTGAATAACGAAAAGTCAACAGAGAGTAATTTTACCATTACGAACCCGTTCTTTCTTCTTCACTCACTTTCATCAGGTTATACTTGCCGGATGAATACATTAGGTTGTTATTCTAACGTAACTCGAAGAAAACGAATTGTTTCTTCTTTCTTTTTGTTGTTGTCTACACTACACACGAAAGAAGGTCAACCGCAAAGAATCAGTCATACTTCAAGGAAAGTGACAACTACACCTGAGGACTAATACTTAGTTTCGATCTCAGGTTATAGTAGCGGACACCTTAATTTGAGCCCAGCGGGACTAGTTTTTATTTTGGTGTCATTATTAAAAATACTTCTTTGAATCGAATAAAAAATGCCTAATATTTGGGCATATTTAAAGTGGCATCGTTGATTTTAGAGTCACTAATCAGCATTCTGCAATCATGCACAATACGTTTAGATATATGTATATCAAGGCTTAACTTCTCTATATCCATGTTTAAAGAATTTGTTAATTTACACGAAAATGAGCTATAAGACAAGTATAACTAGATTATATTATCATATAAAATTCAGACAATTTTTCTTAAATAGATCAGCCTATTATAAGTGATCACTTTTAGTTTCAATACATGAAACTTTAAGAGACTTATAATTCGGGACATCGATATATTTTTCAGAAAAGGTTCCTTTTAGTTTCTAAGATATGGAGCTGTCAATATCAAAGATTAAAGATAGTAAAATGGATGGATTTCAATTTAATTTTAGTGATTTTACCGGAAAAAATAAATGTTGAACTTGGGCTATGAAGTTCCGAAAAGTGATCAAGAAAGTTATGTTGGCCATTCCGAATTTGTGCAATTTCTAAAATTAAAGTGAAATCCATACATTTTACTGACTTTAATCTGTGATATTGAGAGCTCTATATCTTAAAAACTAAAAAGGATCTTTTTCTAGAAAATATATCAATATATAGTACAAGTTGTGTACTTCAAACTGCCAGAAAAACTGGAGAGGGATACCTTCAAATTTGTTAACTTTTTAATCTGGGAAGTTGCCAGAATAAACACTAATTTCGTACTGAGTGCAATCTTTCTTTTGAATAAAACGATAAAATTTGTTCTTTTCTCCATTTCTTGCTTTATATCTCTCTCTATAGTGAGTGTGCATAGAAGGAAAAAACATCAAATTTTCATCTAACTGAACTAGTACGTAGAGTATATAGACATGAATGTTTCGTTATACAATCGCACTCGCAACACTTACGTTCGGCAGCAGAATACTTTCTTTCGCATGGCTGTAGCGTACGGCTAGCATACGCAATTACATGTTCTTTGCCATCGATGTTTTGGGCAAGAATAGCACCGAACAAATCGGATTGTTGGCCTTTGCCGAGGCAGTTCTCTTCGGCAAAGGCCCACAATCCGATTTGTATTTGTGGAAGCGAAAAAGGCTAGATCTCCATGAACAACACGATTATGAGCAAGCAATAACATAGCATCGGTGCTTTGTATAGGCATATCACTTTCGAGGGTATCTTTTGAACATCTCCGTGTAATACGTTCAAATTACCTTTAGGGGAACGTTCTTATAATAATATCACAGAGTCGGATGATGAATGCTGGTTAGGATCGACAACGATTCCATACGTACGAAGGATATGAGGATGGCAACTAAGAACGACATAAAATTGAGATTCTCATACAGCGCCTAGACCCTGTATTTTCATCACTACAATTAGCGGACCGTCTATAAAAAAATGCCAAACACTTTTGAGATCTGCTTAGTTAAGCCACTAATTCTAACATTTTCTAGTCAAATCAAAGTATTGAATGTATTTATATGTAGTACTTTGATTTAATCCATCCGTTTAGTTTAAAATTGCTTATTTTCCTAAGAAGTACGCGTGCATCTTTGAAACCTGAAATTTGAAAACTGAAAGTTTGTCAGGTTAAACACGTATCTTTTAGGGAAACAATACTACATACTCGCGTCTTAATAAGAATACAATGTTGATTTGATATTTCGTTTTAAGTAACTTACAAGTAGTTTCTCAGCTATTCCGAGGCGTTTATAATTTGATGTGAAAGTATACAGATGCTAGATTGCCACTACCGAAAGTGCCTGACATTTTTATACTAATATCTATCTATACAGTGTTTCACCGTCATCAATATAGAGAATGAAAAATCTTTTCGATGGGTGTTTCCGTAGTTATAAGTACAGACAGAAAAAAGATGTTGCACCATTAGATAATACTGACGAGGAAAGGACACCAACTGTCAAATCGCTCTTGAGCCGTGAGTTAGTGGACAATAGGTAATCGAGTATGCTGAATCCGAATATGACAATCATTTTGGCCGCTAGGCCTCCAGAGACCCGGTTTTTGAAAAACCAGTTTTTCAGAAACTCTAAAATATAACCCGAACCTTTCTTGATGAGGCATGATTGTAGCCCGCAAATTTCTGATTAAAATGAGACCTCTCCCAGCTCTGCATGACCTTTCTTTGCAGAGTTATAGAATTTACAAGAAAAGCCCTAAATGTTCATTGTCAGCTCAAAGCTACAGAAATAAGAAGAAATAAATTTAGGGCTTTTCTTGTAAATTCTATAACTCTGCAAAGAAAGGTCATGCAGAGCTGGGAGAGGTCTCATTTTAATCAGAAATTTGCGGGCTACAATCATGCCTCATTAAGAAAGGTTCGGGTTATATTTTAGAGTTTCTGAAAAACTGGTTTTTCGAAAACCGGGTCTCTGGAGGCCTAGCGGCCAAAATGATTGTCATATTCGGATTCAGCATACTCGATTACCTATTGTCCACTAACTCACGGCTCAAAAGCGATTTGACAGTTGGTGTCCTTTCCTCGTGAGTATAACAAAAATCCCATTGTATGAAACACTGACACGGAATCCTTTCGAATATTACTATTTAAAACGCTCGAACATATTGTAAACTTTAAACATAAATCTCGTACAACAAACGAGAGGACAATTTTAACATTTTTATTTTGAATCGAATAAACGACGACAACCATAGGATGCGTACTTTTCCCTCATTTATTGAATATCAAATTTTTTCACTGAAGTCTTATACTCACAATAACGATAAATCTAAATATTTCTAACACAGAAAGTAGAGATGCCATGAACAACTGTCACATTTACATTATTAAGGCTCATTTCAATTTAAGGTTAGACTATTTGTAATTGGTGTACACAAAATAAACGTCTCAGATCTGTGCTAAGCCCCCATCAACAAAAAGCTCGATGCCTGTAACATAACTGCTATCGTCCGAAGCGAGAAAGACTACGACTTTGGCAATTTCATCCGGCGTGCCAATGCGATTCATTGGTGTAGCTGCTTGCCAACTGGCCATGAACATTTTATTTTCTTCTTCACTTGTTCCGAGACTTCGCAATAAAGGTGTGTCGATTGCGCCTGGACTCAAAGTATTCACTCGAATCTTACGCTCTTTTAAATCGACTGTCCAGCAACGCGCAAAAGAGCGAACAGCTGCTTTTGTAGCACAGTACACACTCAAAGCTGGATCCCCCTGGATGGAGGAAGTTGATGCGTTTAGGATAATTGATCCGCCATCGACCAACAGTGGTAAAGCATTTTGAACGGTGAATAACACTCCTTTCACATTGACATTGAATGTATCATCAAAATGTTTTTCAGTTATTGTACCCAACGGTGCAAACGTGCAAGTAGCTGCGTTGGCAAAGATAATATCTAAACGACCCTTCTCTTTCTGAATGACATTGAACAGTTTGTCAAGATCGGCCATATTGGATGTATCACCTTGTACTGCAGTGACATTCTTGACACCGATTTTTTTCACGGCATCGTCAAGTGCTTGTTGTCGACGTCCAGTGATAAAGACATGTTCTGCACCTTCGGCGATGAAACGCTGAGCAGTAGCCAAACCAATACCGTCAGAACCACCAGTAATTAGGGCGATTTTACCATCTAGTTTCCCCATATTTCTCTTGAGTTGTGTTGATAGTCGATGTCACTTATGGAAGGTTGTTTTGATTTGCCTTCAAATTCTCTAAAAATCAATTATCAAACATTTTATGTCGAGGATGAACCAAACAAGTAATAGATAGAACATCTAACACACACAAACAAGCAAACTTTTCAGGCCATGAATCCAAAATCAACTTAGAGGTGTTTTTTCTTAGAATTCCAGAGACAACGAAAAAGGATTCAAAATATTTCTGAGTACTATGCCTTGGGCTCATTCTTGACATGTAAACAAGGTCAACAGCAATGCAAAGAGACAAGTCAAGGAAGGAACGAAAGAGACAAATACGCAATAAAAACAAGATGAGCTATAATATTTGATTGAAGCAATACATTGTGATAGCCACAGTAATTAAAGTGTCTCGTTTTATGGTTTCATTGTCTGATCTAGGTGATGTCATGGGTTATAACCCAGAAAGTGATGATTGACAGGTAGGAATATGGAACTACCATGTAGTTAGAGTAGGCGGGGGTAGCTCACTTGGCAGAGCAGCCGACTGGTAGTTGGAAGATGCGTGGTCAAGGATCTCTTTCTTTATATCTTTCGTACATATGGTAATATATCACTCTCACCCTTACCATCGAAAATCCGAAGTTCATTTTTCGGCTTTTCGATTACTAGCATCTTGACCACCATTTCCAAGCACACCATACCATTGTGAAGCTCAAGAAGCCTGAGTTCATTCCCGATCTGAAAGCGACGCTAATACGTTAAGGTCACCAACAAATGAACTTCTGATTCAAAGTCTTCATCATCGACTTTAATAAAATTTTCTCGTAGATTCATCAAGACTTACGTTAACCAGTTCCACTCTCAAATAATTCCAAACTAATAATTAGATATGGTGAAGGTCTTGCCTGCAAAATGCTGAAAACCGCAGGTCTCTATCTTTTTCCTTTCAAAGGTTATTCGAAACACTGTAGCACGCAATATGAGATTAGAGCTGTTAAAAATAGTCATTTTCTTTTCGTTTCTTTTTTCCTTTCTATTTTGTTTTCTTATTCACGTTAAA